CGGCCGTGGTGGCGACGTCGGTGTGGAAGGCCGACGCGTTGTCGCGGCGGTTGACGAAGTCGTAGGCCATGACGTTGACGAAGTCGACGTTGTCCCAGACCTTGCCGGCCGTTGTGGCGTTGGGGAAGGCGAGCATGCCGGCCGCGGTGCCGGCTACGGCGACGCTGAGGTCCTGCGAGCCCACCTGCTGCTTCTTCAGCTCGCTCTTGATCGCCTGGAGGAATAGGGGAAATTGGCCGATCTCGTGTGCCTGCTGCCGCGTCGACGAGGTCTTGTAGTCGGCGCCGTTTCCGCCGGGGTACTCCCAGTCGACATCTATACACCAACAATAAGTCAAATGCGGAATTGGGGGAAGAGGCTAGGGTTGCGCCATACCAACAAAGTCAAAGTCATTCTGCTTCAGCCAACTGGCCAGGTTGCTGGAGAAGTTGTTCCGTGCACCTTCACTGCTGGCAATGGAGCTGAAGTGGCTCGAATAGTCGCCCCAACCACCGAGCGCCAGTCCGATCTGGGTACCATTGTCAAAATGGGGTCGCAATGCCGAGACGTTCATGAAGGGCTTGAACGGGACTGGCGTGACAGTGAAATTCTGGGGGTCTGCAAAGGCAACGATAACGTGAGTGATGCCTTTGGTAGCTTCGGCATCGCTGGCCGTGGGCAAGTATGGGTGACCGCTAATGAGCTCTCATTAGTACGCCTCACGTGCAAGTTGAGCTTCTAGGCGGACCATACTCATCTAGGTACACGACATTCCGAAAGGCAACAGAAGAGACGCCCAAGGTGGCGATCATGAAGAAGAGTAAGCGGCTGAGACACTTGAGCTTCATGGTGCTTATCGAATAAATTACGATGGGGAGGTTAAGGTCAGCTTGTTAGGGGTAGTTGTCAGTCAAGAGAACTGCCGAATGGGTCGGTCGTATTGGCTACTGTGAGCTTGTTCGTGCTCCAGGATTCTGGAATATCTTGGGTACTTAAAGAATGGTTAAAGAGAACTGACAGCTGCTCTTTATATAGGTAGCCCATGTTCGAAAGGCTGACGAGTGAGGGTGCACAAACTCCGGTGATTCGCATTTGCTGTATCTGACTCGACGTCTTCCAGAAATGATAGAACTTGGCCCCTTTGCAGGCTGGCGGATCTCATACAAAGTTGACGTCCTTTCAACAGAAACTCATGGATAGAACATGACAATATCTAGTGTCTGAGAAATACCGTGATGGTCACCAGAAGCGTTGGCCTCTTGATGAACCGACAAGTACAGGTTTGTTTCGAGTGCAGCCACAGGCCGCGATGATGGGATGGAACCCCGCAGAAGGAGAAGCACATAGAGTCATGCCGAGACTCGGATTATTTGGCGATATATGAAATCCTGCCTTGTACACGCTTCGTCCACATAATTGGTCCGCTGTAGGGTTGGGCCAGAGGTAGTCATCGCCTTCGCGACGCCCTTACCTGTGGTTGACGTTTGTTGGGAATGCCTCCCCGGCACAAGAGCAAAAGGCAGTGATTATCTGGTAGACCTGATCAGTTTATGCATCTGCGACTAATACGGTGTACGTAGATTTCCTGGCGAGGCCGTGCGATATATCGTGGCTTGTCGGACGTCCGGCAGGGTAATGATACAAATCTCTCTCACCTGCGCCTGCGGGCACCGACTTATGCCTTCCAAAGGCCTTGATGAGTTGAGCTGCGCGGAAGCTCAATCGTACCCTGAAAACTAGGTCGTGACCATACTGTACACCGGCAAGCAACCAGTCCAATCATGGCCACCCCGCAGAACACCACGGAGGACCAACTCCCGCCGGCGGCGACCACGGCGACACCGGCCGCAGCAGCAGCAGCTGCACCAACAGATAAAACCAGAAAACTCGAGTTCAGCAGCAACGCCGAGCTCCTGCGCTACCTGTACGCGGACCTGACGCGCATCTCGCAGGTGTCGGCGCCGGACATCGTGCTGCACCGGTACGCCAGCAGCAGCAGCGGGCTGCTGCCGCGCACGCTCGTGGGCGCGGCGGCGGCGCAGGCGCACGAGGAGGCGCTGGTGGCGGCGACGGGCGGCACGCTGCGCATGGACGTCGAGTCCGTCTCGGCCAACGCGCACTTCGGGGCCGTGCTCGGCGTGCTGCGGGCGCGTCGCCGCAGGCCCGGGGACGGGGGCGGGGATGAGGTTGGGGACGGGGCCGGGCCCCAGGACGCGACCGGGGACGGGGACGGGGACGCCGGGCTGCGGCCTGATCTCGCTCTGCCATTCTGCGGCGTCGTGAGCTTATCCCGGAGCCATTTGCTTGCTTGCAGCTTTCCCCCTATACTATTGTCTGCTCCCGAGACATGCTCCCGTTCAAGAGCAAGACTCAGGAGGAGCAGGGAGGTTTCTTGATGGAGGAAAAGTACTGACGCCTGGTGTCGCAGTGGCGCTTCGTTGACGGCCGTGCCGTCGAGCACTGGGAGAACGGCGCTGCGCCGCCGGAGGAGGTGGAGAGCTGGCTGGCGGGGCCCCAGTAGGAGGCAGGGGCCGGCCAGGTCCGGCCAGGTCCGGCCAGGTTCCGGACAGGCCAGGATTGGATGAGCTGATGTCGTCCGGGCCCGGTGGAGCTGCACGTGCGAGGAGGATTCGAAAGGGAAAAGAAAGGCCTCGCTGTTCTATCTCCGTTTCTCCGCGGATCCAAACGTACTGACCAGTCACGGCAAGGGGAAGATCAGGGGGGAGATAGCCTTGGCTGGAAAGCCGTCAGCTCCTTGAGGCTTGGCCTGCATTGTGCTCCTTCAAAGCTAGGTAATTTGGCCGACTGGGAAGCACCACACATACATATATAGGCGTGAAGATCCAGAGTTGCCTGCTTGCCTGCGAAGTAAGACGAATGCCCGATACCTAGCCTATTCCCAGTGAACTTACCAGCAGTGATGGCTACCCTCCGAGTGGCTGTGACCCAGGCGGAGCCGGTATGGCTCGACATGGCCGCGTCCATCAAGAAGGCCTGCGAATTGATCGCCGAGGCGGCCGATGGGGGCGCCAGGCTCGTGGCATTCTCCGAAGTCTGGCTTCCCGGCTACCCGGCGTGGATGTGGTAAGCGCCCGCCGCCCCGCAAGAGCCGACGGGGGAACGAACATGCTGCGACGCTTTCGACTGACAACTCCTCCTCGTCTGCTCCCCCGAATCCAGGTCTCGGCCGGCGGACATGGAATTCCAGACCAAGTACGTGCTCAACTCGCCGTCGACGGACGACCTGGGGCCGATCAAGGCAGCGGCAAAGCGGCATAGTATTGCCGTGGTCCTGGGCTTCTCTGAGCGCACGCCCAGTCACAGCGTGGTACGTGGCTGCTGCATTCGTATTCTTCTTCTTCCCATTTTCTGGCCCGGATCGGCTTTTGGTCTGGAGTCAAATACCCGAGAGTAGAGCAGAGTCCACCCCGGACCCGGCACAAGCTAACGCGGGGTTGCAGTACATCTCGCAGGCCATTGTGTCACCGCAGGGGGAGCTGGTGCTGAAGCGGCGCAAGATCAAGCCGACGCACGTCGAGCGCGCCATCTTCGGAGACGGCTCCGGCCCGGACCTGACCACCACGGCGGAGCTCGACTTCGGCGCGCCGCTCGGCCGTATACGCGTCTCCTGCCTCGCGTGTTGGTGCGTCTCCCTGAAGCCCCTTGTTCCCCCTTGTCTGCCATTGATTTTCAGGGTGCCTGAGGATCAAGGAAATGCGTGATGTTATCTTATAATTCAGGACCCTCCCAAAACATGTGTTCCCATGTCTGCAAGAAACCCGAGAGAAAGTAGGTAGACCGCTTGCTGACGGCCGCCCCCCCATCGGGCGAGCAGGGAGCACGCGCAGCCGCTGCTCAAGTACCACAGCGCGTCGCAGGGCGCGGCAGTGCACGTGTCCATGTGGCCGCCGGTCGACGACCCACCCCCACCCCCGAGCGCGCCAGGGCCGGAGCAGCCGGAGCAGCCGGCGGGCCTGTGCAGCATGACGGCCGAGGGGTGCCGGGGCCTGTCGCAGACGTACGCGGTCGAGGCCGCGGCCTACGTGCTGCACAGCACGGCCGTGTGCTCGCGGCGCGGCGTCGACGCCCTGCGGACGAACAGCGCGCCCGTGGCCGGCCGGCCCGGGGGCGGACACAGCTGCGTCGTCGGGCCCGACGGCCGCCTGCTGACGCGGCCGCTCCGGCTCGCAGCAGCTGCGAACGACGACGACGACGACGCCGACGCCGATGCCGAGGTCGAGGGCATCGTCTACGCCGACCTCGACCTCGCCAAGTGCGTCCAAGCCAAGACCTACCTCGACACCGTCGGCCACTACAGTCGCCCGGACCTCCTCTGGCTGGGCGTGGACGCGCGGCGGAAGGATGTCGTCCGCCCGCAAGCCCCGGACACCGCCGGGCCGGACACAGGTTGAATGGAATTGACGATCCTTTGACCAATGACGATGTAGTGCAATCTTTCGTCTACCGGTAGATAAATGAAAAATTCGAGAAAACCCATGGAATGCGAATCTTTGCAGGCATCGTGGCCTAAATAGAGTAGCTCAGAGCAGCAAGGTGAAAGGGCAGTGAGTGCCCAATCGCCTTTTGCTTACACAAATGGCTTGTGTCAGCCCAAGAGCTATCTTTTCGATTGACTCATTTGCCACCGGGTGCCTAATGAAGTGCTCTACGGAATCGTGAGGCTGTCGTGAGGCTCTGCATTCCAGATATTGGACCATAGCACCCCGCCCTCCCCGCCTTAGCGGCGGCCGCGGTCTTTAGCATATCAGGCTGTGTGTATCTGCTTTTACTCTGCCATTGTCTCTGCTGGCTGTGGGCCAATTCGACGACTGAAGCCACCGGAAGAAAACGACGAATGGAAAAAGACAGCAGCGACACCGCGGTCACGAGAAATCGATCCTAACTGAGACCGTCACGATCCCTGAAGTTATGGGGCTAATGAGTCCATTGCCCAATAGAATACTGGCTTACAGCGCGTACGGTAACTTAAGATGCTGTAAGAAGCCGACCTATCAGCATCGGCCTCTATGGCGTAGTGGTAGCGCGTCGCACTTGTACTTTACAAGGACATGCGAAGGTCACTCGTTCGATCCGGGTTGGAGGCATCCAGGTGACCTGCGTGTCATGAGATATTTCTGCTTTTTGTGATCTGGTCTAGTCCAGTTGGTATGAGGACTCTCAATTTTTGCCCTCTCAATATCGAACCCCCAAGACACCCAACTCCAAGAGACGTCAGGCACCGAGGTCACGGGATGTACCGGTAGCCATTAGGGAACCCATTCTGAAAACTCTTCATATATCATCGCTCAGTTGTATAGTAATCATGACCCGACATCGTGAACCCGGAGAAGGCGTCGTCCGACTGCGTGACGTGGGGTTGAGATGATCAGCATTGTGCTGCCGCCGCCGCAAGGGCGCGCAGTCGACGTGGGTTGGGAATGCATGGTCGAGAGCTGCGGCGGCATCGGACTCGAAAGCACCATGGCAATCCAGAGGTGGTGGTGATGGGAGGGCGCCGGGTTGTTGCTTCTTCAGCTTGTGACCGACCGCATGTCACTCGTCTTCTCTCAAATCGACCTGAGCGGGCAAGAGATGCGCCGACGAGCCATCCAGATACGAGCGGCCAAACTGACAGATCAGAATAGAGATGGGTTGTCTCTAGTTATACATACCGGTATACCATGGACGCCCGAATCGACGGATCGCGGACAGACGATCGGTAGGTCATATACTTAAGTCCTTTTGCCGCCATCTCATTCCCGCCACCTATCTTCACGGTACTTTTCGGGTGTCAATCTGCCACTACCACATGCCTTATCGACCACGTGAGTATAAACTCCCTGAATAGAGCCTGCAAGAGCCTTGCGCAATGTGCCCATGCTTGACCGTCACTGACCGTACGTACCTTACCTACCTACCACCCAGCATTTCCACGATCCATCACGGTTGTGAAGCCAGCGAAATTCGATCCGGAATAGACTTTCAGCTGAAAATATCGTACCCGATGAAACAACTCAAAGAAATGAGTATAAGTGTAGCCCTTGACATATCCCAAGTCGGTGGTCCCACCGACGGTGCCATGAGTTAGTGTCAACTGTTTGATTTACCCCAAAGTGTGCTAGCGATCATGTGCATTACCGGTACGCGCGAGTATTGCAGCAGACCGCATCATCGCCCCTTATTGCCCGCGCTGCGGATGAAGGGCTCAAGGGGAAAGACCTGGTTCTCCGGCGTGACCCCACCGTACAGCTCGTCCCATCGCCACTGCAGGACCTCGGGCGTCTGCCAGGCGTTTTCAGGGTCGCGAAGCCAGAACCGCAGCAGATGACGACTGCAGAGAGAGGATGTCAGAATTTCCCGGTATGTTTAGTAAGTGGTCTAGATCGCCACAGCATCCCGCGCGGGAAGACGGGGGAGAGGAAGGCTCAGGAGCTTTGGGGAGTAGAGGAAGGGGAACAAGGGAAGGGGGTGGCTCATGAGGGGGTGCCAGGTGTCTATCTATCTACTCACCTCTTCTCCGGCGTGTCGGTGAAGCCGTCGCGGGCGTGGAAGATGGCGAGGTTGTTGATGTACTGGATGTCGCCCTTCTCGAAGTGCGTGTCGACCGAGTACCTCTCGCCGAGGAAGTGCAGCGTGTCGAGCGCCTCGGCCTGCGCCTCCGTGATGGGCGGGATCCCGGGGTTGCGCGGCAGCGCCCCGAAGCCGACGAAGTACCGCCGCGCGTACTGGAGGGCCACGCGCTCGGGCGTCGAGTCGGTGGCCGGGAAGTGGAACAGCAGCGGTCGCGGGGTGTACATCTTGCCGTTCTTCTCGAACCTGGAGAATACCGGACGGAAGCGCCCCGTCAGCACCCATCGTACCTACATCGGGTCCCCCTGCCTGCCTGCCTATAAGAGTCTGCGGCTGCGGGCTGCGGCTTCGGACTCACACTTCCATGTCCCAGCTCTGCGACAGCGTGTGGACGATGTCGGGCCGGGTGGCCGCGATCTCGTTGTACACGCGCCAGGTGCTGGCGAGCCTGCTGGCGCCGCCGGCGGCCGAGGTCTCGAGGGCGAGGAGCGCGACGACGTCGCCCGAGTCGGTGTGGAAGACCTGCTTGTCCGTCGTGTAGGCCGGGCTGCCGATCATCGACGCCCCGTGATCCGCCGACCGCGTCAGGTCTTTGATGTGCGTGAGCACCACGTCCGCCGGCCGGCCGTCGAACGTGTGGTCCTGCCGGCCGCGCGCCGCGGCCACGTGCGCCGAGAGACCGGCGTAGGCGACCACGTTCTCCTCGCGCGTGTGCGCGTCCACCCGCAGGCCGCGGAGCACGAAGAAGCCGTGGCCCCGGTGCAGCTCCTCGGACAGCCGGCGGAGCTCCGCGTGCAGCGTCGGCAGTGGGAAGTTCTCCTGAGTGAGAGCTCCCAGGGATAAGCCGAGGCCTGGAATGCGGTTTAAGCGGGATGGTCTGGAGTCGAGCCAGAGGTGTCGACTCACCTTTGAAATGGCTCACAGCCCTGTCTACTTCGGCGAGCTGGTCTTCGCTGAGAACGTAGGTCCAGTCATATGTGTCCCCAATACTTTCACCCTCCCAGACTAGGTCGCCGCTGAGCTTAGCAGGGAATCCCTCTGGGAGCGATTTTGGCAGGGCCTCGGTCTCAAGTCTGTGAGAAGCTCGGGCTTGCCATTTGCCAAAGTCTGGTGCATAGGAAATATCAGGCTAATAAGTTTCAAAAGTCAGTGAGCAGACAGTCTCCTGAAATAGTGGTGTTGAGAAAAGGATGCAGAAGATGACATGCTATGGGTGAAAGAACAGAGACCAGAGTTTAACTGACCTGGCCGGGGGGCGCCTGGGCAGCAGGTGTGACGAAGGTCACCTCTGTGATCGACATGGTTTCAGATGATTGCCGGATGTACCGGAGCGTTGACCTCTTTCGCAGTTTCCAGCAAAAACATGGACGTCGTCCAGATAGACAGATCTCTCGGAAAATAAAGGTTGTCTGGGAGTGGGTGTTGCTTCTGAAGAACAACGATCCGCTGCCCCGCATCTACGGAAGGAAGGATGGTATACCGTATAGGCTAATGCCTTCCGGCTCACGTGTACGTGGTGCTACCACAGCGGAGATGAATAATCCGGTGTACGTGCTTCAATAGCTTGCAGAAAGTGTCGACTGGGCAATACCCGACGTATATATCTTGATACCCGGGGCTGACGGCAACTTGATGCCATACCGGTAGCTAGCCGGTTGACACACCTGGAGTATCGCGCCCTCCGCTCGGCTCCGATCCCTCACCGAGCCGGCCCCGAAGCGTCATCGGGCCCCATACTATTACTCCCGCCCTTCGGTGCAGTCAAGTTTTGACTGGGTAATAGAAAGGGATAGATACTAAAAAGCCACTGCTGGCTTTTAGCGAACGAATAACTCAACACTCCTTAACGCCGCCCTCTTACAAGCAGCAGTGAACAGTTCCCTTTACACCTACCACATGTTGACTTGCATCTATGCATAGCCACCAAATGCGTCGGGAGACAGATACGCGTATTATTTTTGCATCAGATAGATTCGGGACGAAATCACAAATTGTGTTCAACCAGTCGCACTCGGGGACAGCAAGGTCAAGATGGGTAGGTCTCTATGATATCGAACAAATCTATGGATGCCTTTCTACAATGGCGTGTAAAAGGGGTTCGGCTGCTTCTAAATCTACGACAGCCGGCCGACGGGGTGGAGGGGTGTCTTTCAGAAGCGGGGATTCGCCCGCCTTCTAGTTCATCAAATGCGCCCAACGCCTTCCGGAAGCAGGATCCAATTTACTCAAGCAGAATCTCGTAGTTGTCCTTGGCGACGCGGATGGGCTCGTCGCCGGTGCCGTACTTGCGCCGCACCAGCTCGAAGATGATGAGGCCGGCGCTCGTGCTCGGCACCTGCCGGATCGTGTTCCACCAGAAGCCGCGGTAGAGCCAGCGCATCCGCCCCAGGCCCTCGGACGCGGCCTCGACGGTGCACTGGGTCAGCGTCTCCTGGTAGGCGCGGTAGTAGGCGCGCATCATGCGCCACCTGCGCCGCGGCTGGTCGGGGTCCGCGGCCTTGGCGTCGCGCAGCCGGGCCGCCTTCGCGTCCAGGTCTTCCAGGTGGTCCCAGTGCTTGACTTGGATGTGCGTCAGGGGGTGGAGGAAGAGCTGCTGGGTGAAGGAGGCGCCGATGCCGGCCAGCAGCAGGAACATGGGCTCGATGGTGTAGTGGGGCCGGATGACCACCGGCCTGTCGGTCGGGTCCGCGGCAGCGTCGGCGGCGGCGGCTGGGGGCCCGGTGGTGGCAGGTCGCTTCCGGGCGAGCACGTTGACCACGTCCTGCTTGAGTCCGCCGTAGTACCAGGTGACGAATTGATAGTAGCTCTGCGCCTTCATGTACTCGAAGGTGCAGAAGAAGACGGCGCTGCCGAGGCTGTCCTTCAGGAAGGACAGGCCCCAGCCGGCAAAGACGCCGCGCACGCCGATCTCCCGGAGCTTCTCGGCGGAGAAGGACCACATGCTCCTGGGCCTGCCGGAGCCGTCCCCGGCCATCATGTCGCGGTGGTCGTAGCGCGCCTGGATCGCGTCGAGCGGGGCGGCGACGACGCTCTGGATGCTGCCGGCGAGGAGGCCGGCCGTGAAGGTGTGCGCGGGCCCCGGGGGCGGGTACACGCGCCGCGAGTGCGCGCCGTCCTCGTGCAGCAGGGCCAGGATCTGCAGGTAGCTGGTGTACAGCACGGCGCCGACGCCGACGTTGGCGACCAGCGGCGGCAGGATCTGCTGGCCCACGACGCGCAGCCCGTGCTCCTGCACGACCGAGGTGAGCAGGCCCGGCGTCGTGCCCTGGGCCCAGAGCCAGGCGTGGCGCAGGGCTAGGCTCAGGCGCGAGGCCGAGCGGTCCTGCACGGCGGCGCGGAAGAGCCGCTCCGTCCGCGCCTGGTGCAGGCCGCGCGCGTAGGCGAGGTAGTCGACGCGCGTGCGGAAGAAGGCCTTGACGGGCGCGCGGAAGTAGAAGGCGATGACCTGGGCGCTCAGCGCGCGGATGCCGGCAGCCGACGCGGCCGTCGCCGCGTTGCTCCGCGGCGCCCGGTCCACGGCTCCGTCGGGCGGGAC